CGACCTGTATATACGCATTGTGGGCGTGTGCGTGGGGTGCACACGATGGTGGTAGTGGCACACGATCTCCCTCTCGGGCGTGGTCTCTGTAACTGTATATATGCCTGGCCGATGAGCCTAATGGATGTGTGCTGATTCCCAAAACCTCTCTTCCTCCACCTTTCCTCTATCAGAACCATGTTTCACAAATCCGCGTCCAAATAGTATGAATGTCTATTCATACGTTGTTTGACTTTTCTCAAATTACAGTCACCCCTTTGGATCGACACTCAACCATTCTCTCATCTTCACGTTACTCAATATGCATTGTTTTTTCCCGTTTCCCGCAGATTAACTGCACAACTTGCTTGTTTTTTTGAACTTGATTAACTGCACAACTTGAATTCACCTTTAGGCTGGTTGTAATAGGGAGTATCATATATTAGTATCATGCATATGATACTAGTGTATGATACTACCTTCCTAATGCATAGTATCATATTTTAGTATCATATAGTACTCTATTTATTGTTATGCATGACACAAAGTAGCATAGCATTTATTATGATACGGTATCATGATATGATACTCTACCCTCTCTTTCTTCATTTAATACTATGACACCTCATCAAAATTGCCTAGTTGGCATGCATGATACTCCCTCCGTTCCTAAATGTAAGTCTTTGTAGAGATTCCACTATAAACCGCATACGGATGTATATAGATGCATTTGAAGTTTAGATTCATTCATTTTGCTCCATATGTAGTCCACCTAGTAAAATCTCTACAAAGACTTATATTTAGAAACGGAGGGAGTACTAGCTATGATACTACCATTACGACCAGCCTTATAAAACAACTAAGTCTCTTGAGGGACCATTTCACTCTGTCCCACACTATAAGACGCTTTTACAGGCTACACAATATAAGACATTATTGCAAGCTAAGATAGCCTGTAAAAACGTCTTATATCACGGGGCGGAGGGAGTATTGTTTACAAACCAAAATATCCAATGGTTTGCTAAAGTAATGCGTAATTTGAGGTTATCGGAAAATTTGAGCACCCAAGAATTAGCAAAAAAATGTAGTACGGAAGATGTAGTTCACGTATCTTAGCAAGCGAAAATAGTGAAGCTTACCCCAAGGAGCAAGGAGCTAGTGACTGTTACAATGAAATCCAATGCCTCTCTTCCTTTGCATATGTGCGTTTTTGGATGGCAGACTTTTAGGTCAACATGCGTTTATCACATTTACATGCTTAAGTTGTTTAAAAATGCCTGTGCCTTCCTCCAAGAAACGTGGTTAACACGTGCCTACTTGTTTTACATGCTTGTGGCATCAACCAATCACAATCTTCTAGAACTGTTCAAAGCATCTTTCAGAAAAGTTAATCCTGAGTAACACGACCTGCAGCATTTTTAAACCGAACACATGACACACAGGTAAACTTCCAGATGACTAAACCACAGTAAACAAGTCGACAGCACATTTAGCCAACGATGTAGTAGTAGTTCTGAATCCTCTGAACAGAATGCAGCCAGCAACAAAACAGGTCCTCGCCATGGTTCAGATAAACATAGGCTACTGCTACCACAGAACGTGAAACTACCAGCGAGATCGCCAATTTACAAGATGGGGACACGGACACACTATTCTACATCATCCGCTAGCATCAGGCAAAGCTAATAGGTCTAGTGAAAAGCATCAGCGATTTTTACAAGGTCAGTGAGCTGAGGGTCCTGTGTTTGGTTGCCTACCACAACTATGGCTTGCCACAACCTGCTTAGCCTCATGACCCGTCTGTCACAGGCACTGGTCTTTTTAGCTAAGCTTGTCGTGCTTATGGCTCCTTTTCCTTGGCCATAAGACGATTTCGACAAAAAGCTAGCATGATTATGGCATTCTTAGCCTTCAACCAAACAGGCCCGGGTACTCTCGAAGCTGAGGCCTTAAGTTGGGAGATATGAAGACATGGCTCTTCTGAAATCCAGATTCATTGCAGAGCCCGCGAAAGGCGGCACACCTTCAGGGACCCACAAACCTCCTTTGTTAGGGAACATGATCTTTGGATTCATGCGGTCCTTCTCAGTGCTTGCTTGCTCGGATGGAGCTTCCTTTTTGTTGTTCACGAATTCAAAGAACTCTGCAACTTGCTGCGCGTACCTGCATGGGCAAAAGATCCGAACTTAAAAGGGAACACATGATTTTAGAAGTACTTAGGTGTAGTTACTTTCTGATGTTTATATCCAGTAACTAGTAAATAGAACAACACACACCCGCAAAAATAAATAAAAAAGAAAGAACAGCACAGCGATGCCTAATTGAACATATAATAACACAGCCACACAAAATGCATAGAAAGCTGATTATTCAAATATAGTTGGCGCTACACAACATTTAATTAGTCCAGCAAAGGTTTGCAGAACTCACTGTCGTTTCGCTTGTATGTCTCTGTTGAAATCAATGTCAGGTTCACAATCCAAGACCAGAGCAGGAACCTACATACAAAAAAGTCTCAAATGTAACTGAGGTGCTTCAGAACTAGAGAAGTATACACAAGCATGAGAATGTACCTACCTTCTGGATACTAGAATGCATGTGATCTCCTTCCAGGTAAAAGACACGATCCCTTATCCCTGGAGGCAAGTTGCCCTCCATCTGTGTGGGCAGCTGACTAACTGATAATACACCACGGCCTCCTCCTTTCGAAGGAAACAGCCAGCTCTCATGTTTCTCATGCAAACCTTGCAAGTAGTCAAGACTAACACCACCTTCCTCTGATCTTTTCCGGAGCATCATCCTTTTATGGCAAGTATCTGGGCTGGCCCTTAGATAAATAAATCCATCTGGGATAAGACCTGGGAGCGATGACACCACAGGATCGAACCAAGAATCGTAGATGCTGATCTCCATCTCATTCATCCAGTTAGCTTCATGAACAGCACGGACAAATACCTGGTGAATATTAGAATTTAGTTGCACGGTATATACTAGTCAGTCAAACCAGGAAAAGAAAAAGAAAAAGAAATACTCAGTTCACATATGAACTAGCATTAGCACGTAAGATAAGACCTACCATCCTGTCACTGAAAACACTTCTTTCCATTAGTCTGAGAGGTTTGATGCCACCTGAAGATTCTCTTTCTTGCATAACTCTTGTCACAAACACGTAGTTCTGAAACGTGTAAGCATATCTTTGGGGCTCAGCGTAGAAGGCATCCAGTATATTGAAGTGGTCAGGGCCAACATCCTGCCACTTAGCAACAGGTTCAGGTACTATTTCAACAAGATCACGTAGTTCAATAGTCTCATTAGCTATTCTCTGGAGAAAGGTGCTCTTTCCAACACTGATATTTCCTTCCACACAAAAGGTTAGCCTCTTCTTCCGAGGAGGCTTAGATGAGCTGGTATCCTCTAACTCCTCAACAACACTCTCTTTAATGAATGAAGTGATACTCTCAGCATGATTCTTATGTTTGATGCCAACCGAGCTCTGCAAGAACTCAACCATCTTCTCACTCGACTTTCCAAAGAACTGCACATCATGTAAATTACAAAAAAAGTTAGGAGAGCAGCACTCAAAAGAAGTACTCCCTCTGTTCACTTTTATAAGGCTTTGTAGATGTTTCAGACACTGTAAAATAGCTCAATTTCACTTGTCTGAAACGACTTATAAAAGTGAATGGAGGGAGTACATAATATTACACTACAATGTAGCCAACACAGCAAACAAAATAATAGAGTCTATAGTATCCTATCTGTTAACTTCCACACCACTTAAGAATTCAAACGTCTCTCCCAGAACCAGAATGAAATAATAACTTGTTTATCCGAGAACACAAGAACATGTGACATAATCAATCTAGATTTAGATTTTCTGGATGCCAAGTCCAGAACAGAAGCAAAAAAAAAAAAGCATCAGAGATCCCTGAGTATTACAAGGCAAAAAGAAGTACATAATATTACACTACAATGTAGCCAACACAACAAACAAACAAAAAAGCATCAGAGCTCCCTGAGTATTCGGCTATTCGCAATCTCATGAGCTCAAAAGAATACATAATATTACCCTACAATGTAGCCAACACAACAAACAAACAAAAAAACATCAGAGCTCCCTGAGTATTCGCAATCTCATGGGCTCCATTAAGATCTCAAAGGTTCAAATGGCACTATTTTCATGCAGTGCGCCCTTTTGTCTTGTGCGTGGGTCCGAAACATAGCCAATGTGGGCTATGGTAATCATACAACGTAGATGTAACAAGACTTGCACGAGAGTTGTTAAACAAAACTAAAAGGTGGAGGTGGCCACATGTATGCACTGTGACATTTTTTGACTTATAGTAGGTACTGCTTGAGTAACGATTTCAACGCTCGTGGATAAGAGTTTGTGTTCTTGCCTTGGGGCGTGACAGAAACGCACGTATTGGATAGTAGCATTTCCAGCAATCCAAGCAGGGGAACACACACCTTATCCCTGTAGAGCTGCTTGAGATGCGCGACGCCCTCGAAGCCGTTGTCGACGAGCTTCCTGAGGTTGCGCGGGCCGACTCCGGGGATGGCGAGGAGCTCCCCGCTGCCCGCCACGGCGCTGACGCCTCGCAGCCTCCTCTCGGCCACCGCGCGGGCCCCGTCCCCGCCCCGCTTCTCGTCCTCCGACCCGCCGTCCGCGCGCCTGGAGGCCTCGAGGGTGCAGAACGCGCCCCTCCTCGCCCCGCCGCCGCAGCGCAGCCAGGGCGGCGGGCGCCGGCGCGCGGCGAGGAGCGCGGGGGAGCCGAGGCGGAGGGAGGGCATGGAGGCGGAGGGGAGCAGGAAGGGCGCCGTGGCGGCGTCAATGAAGGCGGTCGCTGCGGCGGCGGCGGGGAGGAGGGAGAGCCTGTGCATCTACGGCGGCGGCGGCGGCGGCGGAGGTCATCAATGGGTGGGGGCGGGCTAGCTAGGGTTTGGGGAGGGTTTTGGTTCGGAGTTATCCCCGCGGCCTGTGACTGACCGTGAGCTGTGTCGTCGGGGAGCGGGAAGGGGGAGGCGGCCGAGGTAGAGCGGTCTCGGTGGACCGCGGGTGGGTCCGCCGGGAGCGGTGCGCGGGAGGCTGCCGGGTGGGACCGCCGGGACAGGGGCAGCACGGGCGGCCGAATTATTTGCGCGCGGAATGTGGGCCTGTCGCTGTATCGGCGCCCCGGTTTCGGGACCGTGTCGCAGGAACCGGTGTACGGACACTCACGGGCTTTTTCAGCCGGAAAATGGTCACGCTTTCTACTGGTGGTCGGCTGCTTTGCCCTGGAAGCACGACGTGCATTTGAATTTGATTGAATTTTGAGCTTTCAACCTTTTTCATCTAAAAAAAATGTGCGCCTTTCTTGAGGTGAAACAAACATCCGCACCATTGAGCTCTGAGCACACTGAAATCTCAAAAAAAAAAATAACATTTCTTCCGTCGAGTTAGTGGTTTTGGTGTTTGGGCCAAACCCAATAAATAGGCCCGTATTTTTAGCTGGCACGCGTGGTATTGTTGGATTAGCCACGGGCTCGGCCCTAAATGCTTAATATTATTTTTATTTCACCCACATATATATAATTCTTGTTTATTTCCCTCAAAAAAAATCTTGTTTATTTGTTTTTGGAAGGAATGTGTTTATCTTTCATATTGCTAAAAGATAAGTATTATTAAACCAATTAGTATCAAACCAACCAAAACATGACACGTGTTCGTGTAGGCCCAACCTTACCTCTTTCTTCCTCCCTCGTTTTCGTCCCCACCTCTCTCTCTCTATCTCTCACGGGAGGGCTCCTCCACCGCCGCGATTTGTGCCCAAACTCCTCCTTTGCTCCTGATGTGTCTTTGCGGTGGCACTCGACGGCCACTGTTCATGAGGATCGGCGAGGCAGCGCTGGGAATCGCGGCCAACTGTCGTGGATGACCGGGACGAGGAGGTTGCTGCAACCGCCAGTTGGCGTAAACTAAGAGGTGGTTCCTCTCATCGTGGGAATGCTACAACTGGCAGTGGAGGGAGCTGCAACCGTTTGTCGGCGAAGCTGCAACCATAGACGCATAATGCTACGAACGCCAATTTTCTTTGCTTGAAACCAGAGAAGCGGGTGGTGCATCCTGTTGGGGAACGTAGTATTTCAAAGAAAAAACTTATGCACACGCAAGATCATGGCGATGCATAGCAACGAGCGGGGAGAGTGAGTCCACGTACCCTCGTAGACCGAAAGTGGAAGCGTTAGCACAACGTGGTTGATGTAGTCGTACGTCTTCATGATCCGACCGATCCAAGTACCGAACGTACGGCACCTCCGAGTTCAGCACACGTTCAGCTCGATGACGTCCCGCGAACTCCGATCCAGCAGAGCTTCACGGGAGAGTTTCGTCAGCACGACAGCGTGGTGACGGTGATGATGTTGCTACCGACGCAGGGCTTCACCTAAGCACCGCTACGATATGACCGAGGAGGAATATGGTGGAGGGGGGCACCGCACACGACTAGAATAGATCAATATATCAACTTGTGTCTAGAGGTGCCCTCCTGCCCCCGTATATAAAGGAGCAAGGGGGGAGGCGGCCGACCAGGAGGAGGGCGCGCCAAGGGGGGAGTCCTACTCCTACCGGGAGTAGGACTCCTCCTTTTCTTGTAGGAGTAGGAGAAGGGGGAAGGAAAGCCCCCCCCCCCTCCTTGTCCAATTCGGACTAGAGGGGGAGGGGGCGCGGCCCTGCCTTGGCCGCCCCTTCTCTTCTCCACTAAGGCCCATGTGGCCCATTATACTCCCCGGGGGGTTTCGGTAACCCCCCCGATACTCCGGTATATGCCCGAACTCACCCGGAACACTTCTGAAGTCCAAACATAGTCATCCAATATATCGATCTTTATGTCTTGACCATTTAGAGACTCTTCGTCATGTCCGTGATCATATCTGGGACTCCGAACTATCTTCGGTACATCAAAACACATAAACTCATAATACCGATCGTCACTGAACTTTAAGCATGCGGACCCTACGGGTTCGAGAACTATGTAGACATGACCGAGACACGTCTCCGGTCAATAATCAATAGCGGAACCTGGATGCTCATATTGGTTCCCACATATTCTATGAAGATCTTTATCGGTCAAACCGCACAACAACATACGTTGTTCCCTTTTGTTGGGGTCCTCTAATTGTTGTTGCAAGTTTTTACGTGGCTGCTATAGGTTTCTAGCAAGAACGTTTCTTACCTACGCCAAAACCACAACGTGATATGCCAATTGCTATTTACCCTTCATAAGGACCCTTTTCATCGAATCCGATCCGACTAAAGTGGGAGAGACTGGCACCCGCTAGCCACCTTATGCAACAAGTGCATGTCAGTCGGTGGAACCTGTCTCACGTAAGTGTACGTGTAAGGTCGGTCCGGGCCGCTTCATCCCACAATACCGTCGAAACAAGATAGGACTAGTAACAGTAAGCATATTGAACAAAATCAGCGCCCACAACAACTTGTGTTCTACTCGTGCATAGAATCTACGCGATAGACCTAGCTCTGATACCACTATTGGGGAACGTAGCAGAAATTCCAGATTTTCTACGCATCACCAAGATCAATCTATGGAGATTCTAGCAACAAGAGAGAGGGGAGTGTATCTTCATACCCTTGAAGATCGCGATGCGGAAGCGTTGCAAGAACGCGGTCGGTGGAGTCGTTCACGAAGCGATTCAGATCGCGACCAAATCCGATCTAAGCACCGAACAACGGTGCCTCCACGTTCAACACACGTGCAGCCCGGTGACGTCTCCCGTGCCTTGATCCAGCAAGGATGGAGGGAGAGGTTGGGAAGACTCCATCCAGCAGCAGCACAATGGCGTGGTGGTGATGGAGGAGCGTGGCATCCGGCAGGGCTTCGCCAAGCACTGCGAGAGACGAGGAGGGAGAGGGGTAGGGCTGCGCCAGGAGAAAGGGAAACTCATGTTCTTGGCAGCCCCAAAACCCCCACTATATGTAGGAGAAGGGAAGAGGGGGCTGACCCCTCTAGATCCCATCTAGAGGGGGGGGGGCGGCCAAGAGGGGAGGCTTGCCCCCCAAGCAAGGTGGAGGCGCCTCCCCTCCCCTAGGGTTTTCAACCCTAGGCGCCTTGGGCCCTTGGGGAGGGGCGCACCAGCCCACTAGGGGCTGGTTCCCTCCCATATTCAGCCCATCAAGTCCCCCAGGGCAGGTGGCCCCACCCGGTGGACCTCCGGACACCTTTCGGTGGTCCCGGTACAATATCGATAACCCCCGAAACTATTCCGGTGACTGAAACTGGACTTCCCATATATAAATCTTTACCTCCGGACCATTCCGGAACTCCTCGTGACGTCCGGGATCTCATCCGGGACTCCGAACAACATTCGGTAACCATATACAAACTTCCTTTATAACCCTAGCGTCATCGAACCTTAAGTGTGTAGACCCTACGGGTTCGGGAATCATGCAGGCATGACCGAGACAACTCTCTGGCCAATAACCAACAGTGGGATCTGGATACCCATGTTGGCTCCCACATGTTCCACGATGATCTCATCGGATGAACCACGATGTCAAGGATTCAAGCAATCCCGTATACAATTCCCTTTGTCAATCGGTATGTTACTTGCCCGAGATTCGATCGTCGGTATCCCAATACCTCGTTCAATCTTGTTACCGGCAAGTCACTTTACTCATTCCGTAATGCATGATCCCGTGACTAGCTACTTAGCCGCATTGAGCTCATTATGATGATGCATTACCGAGTGGGCCCAGAGATACCTCTCCGTCATACGGAGTGACAAATCCCAGTCTCGATTCGTGCCAACCCAACAGACACTTTCGGAGATACCTATAGTGCACCTTTATAGCCACCTAGTAACGTTGTGACGTTTGGTACACCCAAAGCATTCCTACGGTATTCAGGAGTTGCACAATCTCATGGTCTAGGCAAATTATACTTGACATTAGAAAAGCTCTTAGCAAACAAACTACATGATCTTGTGCTATGCTTAGGATTGGGTCTTGTCCATCACATCATTCTCCTAATGATGTGATCCCGTTATCAACGACATCCAATGTCCATGGTCAGGAAACCATAACCATCTATTGATCAACGAGCTAGTCAACTAGAGGCTCACTAGGGACATGTTGTGGTCTATGTATTCACACATGTATTACGGTTTCCTGTTAATACAATAATAGCATGAACAATAGACAATTATCATGAACAAGGAAATACGATAATAACCATTTTATTATTGCCTCTAGGGCATATTTCCAACAGTCTCCCACTTGCACTAGAGTCAATAATCTAGTTCACATCACTATGTGATTGTAATGAATCCAACACCCATGGGGTTTGATCATATCTCGCTTGTGAGAAAGGTTATTAGTCAACGGGTCTGAACCTTTCAGATCCGTGTGTGCTTTACAAATCTCTATGTCATCTTGTAGATGCAGCTACCACACGCTACTTGGAGCTATTCCAAATAACTGCTCTACTATACGAATCCGGTTTACCACTCAGAGTCATCCGGATTAGGGTCAAAGTTTGCATCGGTGTAACCCTTTACGACGAACTCTTTTACCACCTCCATTATCGAGAAAATTCCTTAGTCCACTAGTTACTAAGGATAACCTTGACCGCTGTGGTGTGATCCATTCCTGGATCACACTTGTACCCCTTGACTGACTCATGGCAAGGCACACTTCAGGTGCGGTACACAGCATAGCATACTGTAGAGCCTACGTCTAAAGCATAGGGGACGACCTTCGTCCTTTCTCTCTTTTCCGCCGTGGTCAGTTCTTGAGTCTTACTCAATACTCATACCTTATAACACAGCCAATAACTCCTTCTTTGCCGATCTATTTTGAACTCATTTAAAATCTTGTCACAGTATGT